AGGAGCGGGCTGGTGGCCGGGCACGTCCCTGCTGTGCCACTGTCACCTGCAGAGTGAATGCGGGCAGCGAGGAGTGAACCCAAACTGCTGCTTAAAACTTACCCTGAAAAGAGTCCTTAGAGACTACACTTTAGATGTGGAATGTGTTCCTGACCTCACCCAGAGTTACCAGAGCCCCTGGTTTGGCTTAGGAAGGGAAATGACCCGGTTTCCCACGTTCTCCGCAGTTGCTTGGCCGGGGTTGGAGAGGCGGAGGGTCGGGTCGGGCGCCCCTGTGCACACGTGAGGTGTTGGTGTGCGTGGCTGATGCCGTCTCTGTGCTTTGCTCCCCGCAGCAGGAGCTGGAGAGAAGGTTTGTGTGAGGCTGTTCTCTGATCCCTGCGGGCTGGGGACGGCGCCAGCACCAGCACCAGCCGGTCACCAGCTCTTGCTGTCCAGTGTTTGTGGTGGTCCTGGCTGGAGCCGCTGATGGCCTTTGCTCGGGATTTCTAAAACCCATCAAACAGGTGAGGAGGGAGAGGGAAGAGTTTAAAAAAGGCAGACAAATTACCAAAAGTCATTATAACCATTTTTTGCCTGGTATCGGGTAGACAAGCGTTGGGAATTATTGAATTCCCAGTTCATGAGCTGGTTTTTAAAGCCCTGCTTAGGGTTACGCTCCTGTCCTGGCACAGGGTGAGGGTTGTCCTGGCTGCAGGAACCTTGGTGTTACTCGGAATATCGACAGTCTCGGTCCTGCCACTGCTGCTGGGGACACGGTGACGCGTGCCCAGACCCAGGGCTCCTGCTGCTGGCCCCTCCAACCCGGCCGGTGTGCTGTGGCGGTGGGAGCGGGCCCAGGGCGAACCACGTCTTCAAGTCCTGACTCAGACCTTTCTCAGGCAAAACCCACGCTGATCTCAGGAAGGACTTGAGGAGAGACCTGGGGTCCTGCCACCCACTCCAGAACGGGACAGGGGGTGAGCGGTGCCTCACGTGCAGCCCAGCTCCCAAAGCTGGAAATGTGCAGAATCCTGTAAAGCAGATCACGGTTATTGGGGCTAAGCCAGAGCGTTGCCCTCGGCTTCCCCTCCAGACAGGGACATTCTGCTGCTGGTACTTGGTTTGCAAAGAGCAGGAGGGACGGACGCTGCTGACGCACGGGGCAGCGCTCTTGCGTTAAACAGCTTTGGTGGGTTTGGGCTGTTTCTGACCAAAACTGTTTCTGGTGCATTTTCCTTTGAAGCTGATGATCCGCAGAAGGATTCTGCTTTGTTTGTGGTTCGTGTTCGGAAGTGGCGGGGGCCTGGGGGG